TGCACACATGTACAAACATTCCTCACCATGCAATTAAAACTCCAGATTTCTTCTGTCAGGTCTCACCTTTTCACAGGTGTGTACATGCTGTTCCAAAAACTAGTCTGAAGAAGTTAACTCTTATATGGCTTCCACCTTTATTTCTAGATTAAGACTCTCCATTGTAAGAAACAATTAGCACCAGCTGGTGAAGCTGGTTACTTTGGTTGAGCTTTGAAATTGATACTAAGTGCACAATAAATTTGAAGTCACTACAGACTTGATTTTTTCTTTGCTGACACAACAGATATGTTCCTACTTCTTCCAGGAAACATGTAATTAAATTTTAGAATTCATTAAGTGTTTGTGCTTTGCCTATTCCCTGGGCTGCATGATAAAAGGTTTGGACAAGTGAGCATGGTGGAAGCTAAATATTTCCATCATTCAAGGATAAAATTTTGGCTTCTATTATCTAAAATAAATCTGAACTTTTTTAAAAAGCTTCACCTTTTCCTTGAAGATTTAAAAGAAGAAACTTACACACAAGAGGACTTTGAACTTTCTTCCTCTTAAATTTATCTTTATTATTTGTAAACACTGCATCCTCTCAACACAAGGAATTAATCAGTTCTTCTCTGAGCTACCCAACCAATCCACTTTCCATTTTCCTATCCAAATATCTGTACTTGCCCTTCCCCATCTGCTGTTCTTATTGTTGAATTAATTTACCATCTCAATTGCCACAATTTTCTTCTCAGTTTCATTAGACAATAGATTGGTGCTTTCCTGAACAAGGATGCCTTCCTTCTTTTGTATCACTCCATCTTTTCCCCCTCACTAAACTGAGGTGAGAAGAAGAAACACAACTAGCAAAGGCTCATGTCCTTGGCTTTCAGAGAAATTTCTTTTGTTTTATTCTCAGAAACACATCCATGCTAGTTTTTCCAAGATTAAAATTAAGATAATGAAAAAGTAATAAGACAAAAGCAAAGACAAGTCAAGAGTAAGGGCTCCTATATATATATATTTTTTTTTTTCCATAGAATATTCTGAGTTGGAAGGGACCCACAAAGATCACTGAGTCCAATTCTTAAGTTAATGGCCTGTATGGGGATGATCTTGACTTTATTAGCACCATGCTCTAACCAACTGAGCCAATCCACTCCCCATATATATATATACATATACACAGAGAGAGAGAGAGAGAAAGAAAGAGGGAGATGGAGAGAAAGAGAGAAAGACCTATATTTGTTTTAAAGCAGACTAGGGAGAAGGCCATTTTGAAGCAACACAAACACATTCCTACTATAACCATTGTTAAGCATTTATTGCCTGTGTGCAGTGTTACCCACTAGGCCATTTCCACTGTATTTAATAAAGTAAATGTTCTGAGATGCTACCAGTACCCCAAGTTGTCAATTCATGACACATTTTAGTCATATATGTACTGCCTGTAAATGTAAGAATCTTAAATGAACAACAAAACAAATCCGTAGTACATGAATTCTACAAGCTGAAGACCCAGAAGGCAATAAACAAAACTTACAACTTATTTCTTTAAGTCTCACTGTTTTGTGACTTGGTGGGAGCCAAGAATGACCTAATGGATCAGACTGAGGAACAGACCTTTCCCAAGAGCAGACTTAGCAGCTTCAAAACCAAACCATTCTACCATTTTATCATACTGATCTACATTAAAATATAAGACCTAAAAGAATTATTTTAGACAACAGTAAAACAAATTTAAGTAATTCCTGGTTTCCTTGCAACTAATGCACATGGCCAAAATGTGAAATTTTTTGGGAATTTTTTATTTTTATTCGAATGGTGCATGAGCAAATGGAACTATGAATCTCATACCAACAGTTAATACCAGACTGACCTGACTCATACAATGGTGCTAAACCACTTACACACAGACTTTCAGTTCTGCTTTGTGTAGTATCCTCTTTTGCCATTACCAGCACATCAGTGCCTTACAGCAGTATGCAAGTATCATGAAATTTAGCTACTAGTAGTTTGCATTCCTCTCTAACCCTTCCCCCAGGAAGAGGACTGTATGTGTGATATTTTCTTCTTGTATAATGTTTGATTTATTTTTTAGATTATAAGCATCAAGCTTGATGTGCTCTTTTTTTTACACTCTCAGGGGAAAAAAAAACATGTGGAAGCATTCTAGAATATACTTGTTTCCCCATGGGCATTTAATTCATAATCTAGAAACACTCACCTGCAAAATTTATAACTCTCTGCTTCCAAAGTCCTTCCTATATTTAATTTTTTCAATCACAGTCTTGGGGTTTGAGCCATTTGCAATCTAAGGACTCCTTTTACGATACAAAGCCTTGGGCACCTTTAAAGTACTGGAAATAACTGGTGATCTGACAAAAATCCAGGACTGCTCTACAAACTGAAAAGAAAAAATTACAAAGTGTAGTTGTTAAAAAGAGAGATATTACACTGTTTAGTAAAATGTGAGGTGATAGCCTCTCTGACTAAAACGACAAGCACACCAACATTAAGCTCTGTCCTATCAATGTCTCTGGATACCCATCTCCACTATTATTGAAACAGATTTACTAAAACTAACCTCTTTATCAATTCATTCAAGAATTTTAAAATATTATGTTAATAATATATTCACCTCTGAAGATGAAACCTGATCCAGGTTTTTTGAGGTTGATGGGAACCTCAACCATTGCCAAATCTCCTAGCAATTCCTTGAAAAATCATGTTGGGATTTTGGTTGCACTGCTCCTCCTCTTTTTATTTCTATCCCTCCCCACATGAAGGCTTAAAACACTGGGGGAAATGGTTCTGCTGAAGTCACAGCTACCCCAGCCACTCTGGAGTTTGCTTTGTGTTCCCCACTTCTTATTTCATATATGTTAAGCAGAGGACTGAGAAAAAGCACGTGGCCACTAACAACCCTCCTTGGGACTCCTTCAGCAAGGTGCTTCACTCAGTGCCCCCTCATTTACACTTCTGACCCTTGGCATTTCTACTTTCTCCCAGCAGTTTGGCTCACTGTGTTTTTGAGGGAGTGCTACTCCTATGTTTGGGACAAAGGCACAGTCATCCCTTGGTTAGTGCTAGAAGGAACAGCAACCAGAACCAAAGACCCAGAAAACAGCATAAGGTGGAAGTTTCACAGCCCACTTGCCTTGCTAAGGGGCTGCTTGGTTGCCTCCAGCAACCTGCCACTCAGTGTGAGCCAGAGATGGGCAGTGCATTTAATACCCTTCCAAAAACCTGTCCCAGTTTCTGTGTAGTTGTCTAAACCAGCATGAGCTACTGTCAGCCATACTAGCCTACAGAAATAAAGTTTCAAAATTTAGCTGTGCCTTATTAAAAATAAATAAATAAAAAAGCCATCTCATTTTGCTTACAACCTACCGCCCAACAATGACATTGGAAACTCTTTATTCTTTCCTATGAGCAGGAAATAGCACAATACTATTCTAATTCTCTAGCAAGAATTAGAAAATTTGAACAGACAGCTCTATTGTAATTTCACTGTTTTCTGAGTAGCAAACACAGAGCACAGCCCACCACAGTATGTAAAATGAGAATTTGTTTCCTCCCCTTACACACACATCTTGCAGTTGTCAGTCTGAAACGCCATCTGCTATCCAGTCACACTTTTTGAAGCTTTCTGCTACCAGCTTCCAGTTTTACTAACTAACTTAGTATCAGCAAATATTTTAAGAGGTTGAGTGTCGATTAAGACAACAAAACAAGAACTCTCACCAATTTTTAAACCAATAACATATCAAGGCTAGTCTTTTAAAAATCTTGACATGTTAATTCTATATAGATAAGAAAAATATAGGTGCTTACTCAAAAGTTGATTGGCAATTCAATAATTACTAACTACTGCCTTTATTCCTATTTAAATATAACAGAAGCAAAACCAAGTTAAGAGCTTTCTGGTAGTCAACTTCTCTTGCCTTTAATCTTTCCTCTCAGCCATTTCCATTCTCATGCCTCTTTGCCTCTTCTACCAAAAGCAATAACCCCTAGAGCCAATACTCCTGTATTTGGTGCTTGTCCAAATCCTTGTTACTTGATAACAACCACGAGGTCCTTCTTCACAAACTAGCTTTTCACAGCGTTCTGGTTCTGTATGCATCCAATCTGAACCACAACAAAAGTCATATGTATTTTCCATATAGTTTTCTACCTTGATTTTTTTTTTTTTTTGAGAGAGAGAGGAAGTAGGTTAATGAGTTCTGATGTATTCAGTTATGCCAGATACTTACTCAGCTGGAACACACACTGCAGCTGATCAAATCTCTCATTCAGTTATGGTCTGGAGCTATTTTACATAGGGCATCACAACATCTTAGGTCCCTAACTTTAAAAAAATTTCCAAGAAAATTCCATATCTATTTAAATTGATTAAAATAATTTTTAAAAAGCCATAGATCTCTAAAACATGATCAGAAATAGCAACTTGATATTTACAAAAACAATGAAAGACAGTACTGCAAGTGTAAGTATTTTACAGAACAGACATAAAAACTGCTTTAAAAGAAAAACTGCTTTCATTATAAGCTGAAGTCAATACATTATAAAGTCAGAAAACAACTTTCAGCTCTAGTTAAAACACAAGAAAGCTTTTGAATATCATATATAACCACTCAGAAAAATACAAACAGATCTAGACAACTCACACAGGCCTCATTGTACTCACGAGAAAATAAGAAAGAAAAAAAACCAACCCAACAAACGAAACCCCCAAAACCTGAATTCATTCCACTCATCTAAAGTACTACAGCCGTTCCAAAGAGGTTAACTGTGTTTGCTCTAGTTTATTTGGATATTAAATGCAAGATAAAAGATCTCCAGGCGAAATATAAGAGATTGTATCTTATTTTTGGGAAATAAACAGATTCCAGAGGTGTGTTCTCGCCCAGCCAATCCTGAGGCTGTCGTGCAGCTCTGCCACCTCTCCAGGCCCAATCACAGCCACAAAGGGAAACTTGTTTCGCAGTTTGTCTCGGCGGTGCTGATGATGAATGGCTGCTTCAGGGGGAAAGATCAAGCTGTGTGGTAAATCTTTCTATTTGTTCCATCTGCTTTTCTATTTTAAACAGTTGTAGTGATCAGCCTGGCACCCTACATTAAGTACATATGAATTTCATAAGAGAAAACACTTATGTAAGTGAAAACATGGCTTACATTTGTCCTCCCATTCTCAAAGTGAACACTGCAACTTCTGCAAGCTCAGAACTATTACTTTGTATCTACCTTCCAGAAAAGATATAGCATAATATAGCTTGATTTTACAGCTTTTAGAAGGTCAGCTTTGCAGCCATAGCATATTTCAAGATGATGTCATTCTCCACCTTCCTCCTGCCTAGCTCCACTTTGCAATACAACTCGTAAGATGGCAGGAGAAGTAACATGAAAACAGAGTATGTTTATCAGACTATGCCCTTCAAATATACAAGGGCCTATCCTACAAGCCTTATTTATCTTTTAATTGTGCTGAGGTTGTGCTAGTGTAAAGCATGCCAATCCAGCCTGGCTCCAAAGGTCACCATTATAAGGGAATGCTTTACAATAAAGCCCATTGCTGATTTCTAAGCTAAAAAGACAGGTAAACATACTGAGACAAGCAATGGGGTTTTTTTTTCTTTGGTTATCAAACCATTCTTGACTGGTCAGATTGCAGTTTGGCCAAATCCTGCTTTCCCTTATACTTTCACTACATTGTTCTTTATATCCTGATATATTGTGCAGCACTGCTGTGTTCTGCTAAACAGCTTCCTTGCTCCTCAAAGCTAACTACATTTCAATGGCCAGCAAAAAAAGCTCAGTATCTTGATATCTACCCTACCCCCAAACTGAAATGTCTTAGGATTCTAAGGAAGGAAAATGCAAGCACATGGTTATTCTCACCTCCTATTCGTCCTGCTCTATTTCTCTCCCTCGACTTCAATTCAGTTTCTTTGGAAGTTTGAGCAAGTTCAGCCACTTCTGAATTAAAGCACATGAAAAGTGAAGTGAAATAGCAGTAAAATGAAATGGCAAGTAACAGCACTGTATGTTGCCTTTTCAAAGTCTCAAAAGAAATTACAAAGTCTCTTAGGTGAGTTAATTTCCACCATATTCCATCTATATATAATTTTCATCACATTATTATGTCACGCTACAGAAGTTTTCTAAAGTGTAGTAGTGTACACAAGTTAAATGGAAGTATTGCCACTTCAACTAAATATATCTCTAACTTCATCCTAGCAGCTTTTCCCATAACTTAAAATTACTGTAAAGTTCCATGAGCATTATTTCCATTTTACAGACAGGCAAACTGAAGGGGCTATAACTCATCTGAGATCACACAGCAATTCAGAGAGTGGCAGGGCGAGGAACAGAACTCATCTATACTCCCAGGTCATTCCCAAAACTGTTACACCCATTTCAATATTACTGAAGCAGCAGAAGGTGCACTTTGGGGAGAAATGCCAGAGGAAGAACTCTTAGCAAGGAGTCTTGGGAAGTCAGAGAGAACACTCACATGCCACATGCTTGAGAGATTATATTTCTGTCCCCTCCTTGCAACCAATTTATAAAGTACCTTTCAATGGCAGGACACTTGAATGCGAATGTGACACCAAGCTGGCAAAGGCTTCAGAAGTTAAGATATGATCTTAAAGGCTAACTACAGTATCTTTGATTAGTAGAATTTAAAGCTGACAAGTTTATATATTCATTGTAAAAATTTGCAAATACAATGACTGAACAACAAAATAACCACAATCCCAGTGTTAATCTCTTAGGAAGAAATCAAAATTATTTTATTAGAGAACTGTCTATTTATACAGTTTATGATTTAATAACTTTCATTTTAGAGAAGATTTAATATTTAAATAAGTTTTAAGGTTGTTAGAGAAACTTAGCATCTTCAAGAAGAATTTTGGGACAGGGAATGTAATTTTCTGTGTTCAGAGAGACACAAATGAGACATTTTGAATAACAGTCTAATGGTAGCAGAATACACAGTTACATCATCCTACCAAGGGGGTTTTTTTTTGGTTCATCAGTAAGGACTGGAAAAATAGTGCAAAAAGCCTCTGCACAAGTATCTTAAAAAAATCTTTGTCAAAATACCAAAACAAAAAAAACCCAAACAAACAAAAAACATTCTACTACACTTACCTGCTTTCAGCAATATCTTAGATTTATGCAGATGATCCTAAATCGTCATACCCTGTCAAGGAGCTGCAACACTAAATCGTGACTTCCCACAGGCTGACAGTTTTTCTTTCATTTAAGATGTCAGGCAGTTCAACATTGTTTGCTTTATTTCCTCACCTCCCCACCCCCACGTCCTGCCTCAGCAGTATCTTCTGTTATGCCATCGTGCGTCAGAGGGACGCGTTACTGCAGCCCCGCATCCTGCGTGATGCGAGTGTGTGCAATCTGGAAGTCCCCCCGTGTGCTTCACGGGCACACAGAGTCGGGCAGATCCTGTCTGAACAGTCAATACAGAAATCAACAGCTCCATAGAGTAAGTACCAGTGGAACTGAACAGATCTTTAAAAACAGTGTGTTGATTTCATGGCACATCATGAGATATTGTAGGAAAATAGTACAGCGATGGCAAAGGAAGAAGCAAGAGCAATGAGATGATGACGGAATAGGGAAGGGAAAACCTGAAAGGAGTTCAGTTTAGGATACACTAACTAAGGCAGTCATCAGGTCATCAGACATGAATGTGATTTATGCCCAGAGACCTCAGAAAGAAAACAGAATCTGCAAAACAGAGACCAGAGATGGTCTACCTCAAAGGAAATTAATACGAAAAACAGTGATGAGTTTGATGGTGTAGAGTAAGTGTAAAAAAAGCTACAACAATAATACCCTGCACATTTGGTTAACATGAATATAGAGAATTTGCACAAAAACATTACAGTTAAAAATCTGTATTAGCCTGGGAATAAAGATATTTACTGAATGAATTTTACCATTCATGTTGCTTTCATTTTCAAGACTCTGCCAACCTAATATTTGCAAGTTCTGCTCTTCCCTTACAGTCCCTGGCCATAGAGCTTAGTGAAAGGATTGGCTGCTAACTGCCAAGTATTCTTGTGCCGTAGCAGGATATATGTTACTTCATTCCAATAATATGATTTTATTTGGCAGTTGGTACAAAACAGGCATTAAGGTTATGATTCACTACTTGGTTGTCTCAACAATCTAACACTGAATGTTCTTTCTCCTCATTCCATGAAAGTCTAATGCCAGAGTTAAGTATCTGATTTCTCCTTCAGCTTATGTTCCCCCAAACAACTGGGTCCACTAACTTAGAAGAGGTCCACATGGAACAAGCCACTGCGGGATAAATAAATGTACACTGTTTAGGCCGGGGACATTCCCAGATTTCCAACAGGGAGAAATCAAGTACTGTCATCCTTACCAGATTCCATTTTGCCTCAACTACCTCATTCCTGGTTCTACACACTAAGTGTAATTATATACAGTAAAGGGCTGAACGGAACCTGTCCACCTTTTCAAGTACATTGATAAAGATCTTAAAAGGACAGCTATGAGGGTTTTGTTTGCCTTTGGTTTTCTTGCTTGCTTTTCTATTTGATATTTTGAAGACTAAAACTTCACAGAAGAGGGAAGGAATCGCCACAAAGGAAGCCTGCTAACCTGACAATGGGCCAGCCTTCAGTTCTATGCTATCTATTCCAGAAACAACAACCAACCAAACAAAAAACCTCACACCATTTTGAAGTTCCATATTTATAACTCCAGGCTTCTGATGTTCATAAAAGCTTTTACAACTCGGAGGTCACTAAACAGTCACCCCAGGTATTGTATAACTAATTAATGTCACTTGAGGGATGTGGGGGGATATTAGCCCAGTCTTATGGGAAAACAGGGAAAGAAGTGGCCATCATGAGCCACCTTCTTTAATCTACTGCCAATAGATTAAACCAATAATTGTCTGCAGCACCACTGGATGTTTGGCATTTGTTACATTTCCTTCCTTTCCAAAATCTTTTAAGAAAAAGTTTTGAAGATGCTGGAATATATGCCTTAGCATGCAGGCATACTTTAACACAGAAGGAAGAGTAAACATTAATAAGAGCTGTTACCAGAGTAAGCTCCCACAACTGCAAACAATCAATTTACCACCATCTTGTCAGTTAAATCTTTTCACTTCAGCCACAGCAACTGACAGTACACTCCCTGCTTGACCTGTGTTACACAGCAAATCAGACAAATCAGTTTTGACAGATGAGCTACTCCAAAGTTAATGGTAATTTAGTTCACATGTAATCATGTGATGTTACCCTAAAATCAGAAGGCCTGAGTATGAAGGGAAGTGTTACAGCCTACCCTGTGAGTTCAGTCACGGAAAAACACTCACTTGCTCTTCAGGTTGCAGATTTTCATGCTACTGTTCATAGAACCTCTGGCATTTCAGGATGCCCATGGCCATCCACAATGAGCAAGATTCAACTGCACACAGATCTAAGTTCGAATGAAGCTCTGTTAAAGAGCTGAAGCACAATATCACTTAAGAGACATGTATTTCATCTCCAATTGTTTGATGTAATTAGGAGATGAGGAACAAAAAGGCCTCTGCACCTTTAATATATGCTATTATGTCATCTAGTTGCATGTTTGCTAGAGGCTTACTTCATTTGGCCTGAATATAAACTTGGAAGAACTTCAGGTTCTTTTAATGTTAATGATCTAGTTCCTGCATAGTACAGTCAAGTGAAAAAGCCTGACATGGGAAAATTTAAATAACAAAAAGAGTACACAGTTCTCTTCAAGAAGAATTTGAGCTTCACCCTGTATTAAACTCAGAACAGTGTACAAAACTTGTTGACACTATTTTGCTCTTCCTTCAGACTGTTCTGCTGGTTCTGTAACCCCGTTTCAGCCACTTAGCTGCTGTAGTGCAGGTTACTCACATCTCATTGCACTTAAACTGGAAAAGAGGTTGCAAACCTGCTTGAGACTAATTTTTTCTTTTCCAGGTGCCAAACTATTCTAAGAAGTTCCATACAAACATCACTGATATTTTAAAGAACTGTTCTTCTTTTCCTTTGATGGCAACTTCTAGATGAGAACATTTTTCTCCAAAACTGAAGATAAATAAAGAGAAAACTTACAAAAAATACCAAGAGACACAGAGTTTTGATTCAGACCTCCACCAAGAGCTTGTAGCACCTTTCAGCTACAAAGGAAGAACGAACCTACAGTGCCCTCAAGTGTGAGGGGACATGAACTGGAAGAAGTCTGGAGATCTACTAGGAAGAGGAAAGCTCTCAAGCCTTCAGAAAGAACCCTCACTGAAGAAAAACATGCTTACCTGTACTGGGGAGGGGAGGATAATTGTCTTTATGCATTAGGATAGACTATGTACTATAAACATGTGCAAGAAACAAATCACAAAACATCTCCACTTTCAACTGCCTTTTTCAAATTCTTGTAAACTGGAAGTTTTGTGTGCATTCTCACCACAGAAACATAGCAAAGGTAGTTTATTTAGTACAGAAGTCTCTAAATAGTATTTAAAGGAAGAAGTATCTTAGTAAAAGGTCAACATTTACACTTTACAGACAAGTCCAATGATGCTTAAGACAACATTTCCTCAATATCTGAATCTCTTAGCAAAGATCACACTTCAGTCTATTACCCAGGAACACAAAAGTTTTATCTATTACAGTTATAAAAAAATAGAGGAGGGTAATGCAGCTTAACCAGCACTCAAAAAAACCTGCAAGTCAAGTTGGAACTCACCTAAGTTAGCCAATGGGAAGCACTGAAGACAGGAGTGCATCTTCAGTCTCCCACTGTGCTAGAGCTTTCTGCCCACCAGCAAAAGCAACTGCATTTATTCAAGACCACAACTTCAAGCCCAGAGACTGGTGCTCTCACCTCAGCAGTTAGATCACTTAAGACAGAGGCCAAGTCCAAGTCATTAATAAACTCAAGGTGATTCCACCTTCTCCTCCCTAAACAAAGTTAAGATATTTAATGATGGCAACACTGTCAGCACTTCCAGTTGTGCTAGTCCTGCTTTACATACAATTCTTAAGGTGTTCACTATCCCAGAAATTAGAGCAAAAGATAGCCCAATTCTTTCCTCTTGGGAGCCTAGGCATGTAAGGGGCATGACTTCAAATCACCTCAGGGAGAAAAGGTGCTGAACCTAGAGTCCTCATTCTTTGGGAATGCTCTAACCACTAAGCTATTACTCAGGAGTGGGAGGGGTAGCTCTGGTTTGTTTTGTGCAAAGCCCATCTGATAGGTCTTCAGTAAACATGCTCCAAGAACACCATGTTCTGCAAGCCCTGAGAGGAGATAGAGGGAAATATTTAATCTCTGGATCCAGAGTGAGCTTACTTGAGCATAGGCGTGGAACTATTGCCCACTGCCAAACCTGAAACACCCTTATTCATGGCTGAGCACCCGATGAGGTTCTGCCTAGATGCTCACTGACTTTAGCTACAGGGTTAGAAGGATCTTGGGTTTGGAAGCTCTAAGCTGGGGCAGAAACACAAGCTTCATGAACTCATTTCCTTTCTTTGGACTGCACAGAGTCTTTGGCTTGCTGAATAATATCAGAACCTTTGTCTTGCTGAATAATACAGGACAGGGAATTCCCATATTGGTGACTATAAGTGCCAGAAATCTGAAGAGATCTTATTCTATGAAAAAAAAAAAACAAAAAAAACCAAACCACCAAAAAAACCAATCAAACAAAAACCCATCAGCTGTACTATAAAAACATTAGGTTTGAAAAGCAAAGCATTCTGGTGGCTAGCACCTACCAGAAGTTGAATCTATCTAGATGATTCCAACTTTCAATTTTTAAGTTGACATTCTGCTATAGGGACAACTTTTTCCTGTTAGGGTTATCTTTTCCTACAGTGCCATCTGTTGCAGAACCTTACCTCTTTTATTATTATTGTGAACGATATATCTCAAACAAAGCAAGGACAAACTGTTCAATGAAAGTACTGCATAGTAAGCTCTGTCACAAACACGATCTGAATGTATACCAAATGGCTGAATTACCATTCACCTGCAGGAGGCTGTAAGAAACAGTAAGAAATCGTAAGAAACACTAGAGTATTGCATATGAAAACACCTCAAAGATACAAGCTGTGTTAACTCTTTCCGTTGCATACCTACAGTAAAGGAACTGAAACAATTTGAAGAGTATTTTATTTTCATCTAGAAGGCCACAAGGTCTTTCCCCTCCTTCTTCAGTTAGAAATACCACCTACATTCTGATGCATTCAAGACTGGTAGTAAAACTTTGGGGACACATACAGTCTGTTGGGTCATTGCTACAGCCAGGGCTGAACTAAGTAAAGCACCCTTCCCGCTGGATGAAGCCTTGCCACCAAGTCATCCAGCAGGATAAAAGCTAAAACGCTGCCAGGAAGTTTCACTGTCAGGGTCCCTCTGAGCATGCCTGAGTAACTCCTGTGTAATGCACCACATTCACACAGAAAGTAACATAGTTTCTTCTAGCAACCACGGACTGCCAATGGCAAAGAATTATCTTCTTTACTATCTTTCTTTATAATAGTGGACAATTAATGGTATTTAAATAGATTTTAGCCAGGAAAATGCAGTAGTTTTAATCTGCTCATATTAGCAAAAAAAAAGTAACAAATGGCAACACTACCACACAACACATGATTTTACTTAAGATAATAGAGTCCAGCAGAAAAATTTATTTTAGTCTAGAGATAGCTTAAACATGCTCATGGGTTAAGTTTTGTTTAATAAGAACTAAAAAGTCCCAAAACATTGAATGTCAGCCCTTTTCTCCCAACTAAAAATCTACTCTTTTGTAGAATCTACCCTTAGAAAGTTAGTCAGCTGCCATGTGCTAGTTTGAAATTTGTCACTGGTAAGCTCAAAATAAAAGTTAGGAGTTATTCACCTAAGTTCTCTGACAATTTCACTTCCCTCAAGGTCCTTCAGAAAGGTCCTTGCTAGACCCTTCAGAAAAAGAAAACAGACTGATTATGGCTATTCTTTTCACCTAGTATTTTCTCATTAGATGAGGGACAGTCTGTGCCATGAACAGCAATAGAAGACACCATCGTACATACTCGCGACTGATTTCCTCCACAGACCTCAGCTTTTTGACCCCAATTGTTTCAACAATTAAAACATCACGATAGTTGAGTAGGGGATTTTTTTTGTTGTTGATTTGGGGTTTGGATTTTTTTTTTTAGTATGTGGGAACATATGCATCCTGTGTTTAGAAGAGGTGAATTCTAACAGCTAGTACCTTCTTTCCGTTTTGCTTTTCTAAAGACACGTTGATGTGAAGTCTTGATTAACACTACAGAGATACAATTTAGGACGTTTCAGCTGAGGGTAAATATATTATAAAACTGAAATTCTGACAATCATAAAATAAAAATAGGCATGCCCCTTGAA